TGCCGAAATTGTTGCGGTGGTGTCATGCGAGCGCTTGGGGCCTTCGGTGGAGCTCCCTATGGGGCCACGACGCGTGTGAGGGGCGTGCCGAGAAGGGTGCGGTGGTGTCGTGCGAAGGCAGCCAGTGGGGCTTCTGCGGAGCTTCCTGTGGGGCCACAAAACGTGTGATGTGTGTGCCGAGATGGGCGCGGCGGGGTCATGCGAGCGCAGCCACTAGGGCCTTCGGTGGAGCTCCCCACGGGGCCACGAAACGTGTGAGGGTGTGTGCCGAAATGGGTGCGATGGTGCCGTGTGAGCGCAGCCACTGGGGCCTTTCCGTGAAGCTCGCCATGGAGCCACGAAACGTACGAGGGGTGTGCCGAATTGGTCGCGGTGGTGTCATGCGAGCGCAGCCGCTGGGGCCTTCGGTGGGGCTCCTCATGGGGCCACGAAACGTGTAAGGGGTATGCCAACATGAGCGCGGTGGTGTCATGCGAGCGCAGCCACTGGGGCCTTCGGTGGAGCTCCCCATGGGGCCACGAAACGTGTGAGGGGTGTGCCGAGATGGGCGCGGTGGGGTCATGCGAGCGCAGCCACTTGGGCCTTCGGTGGAGCTCCCTATGGGGCCACGAAGCGTGTGAGGTGTGTGCCGAAATGGGCGCGGTGGTGTCATGCGTGCGCAGCCACTGGGGCCTTTCGGTGAAGCTCCCCATGGGGCTATGAAACGTGTGAGGGGTGTGCCGAGATGGGCGCGGTGGGGTCATGCGAGCGCAGCCACTTGGGCCTTCGGTGGAGCTCCCTATGGGGCCACGAAGCGTGTGAGGTGTGTGCCGAAATGGGCGCGGTGGTGTCATGCGTGCGCAGCCACTGGGGCCTTTCGGTGAAGCTCCCCATGGGGCTATGAAACGTGTGAGGGGTGTGCCGAAATGGGTGGCGATGATGGTGACGATGACGGTGATGATGATGGCGATGACGATGACGATGATGGTTACGATGACGATGCTGCTGCTGCTGCTGCTGATGATGATGATGACGATGACGCTGACGATGATGATGCTGCTGATGATGATGCTGATGATAATGATGCTGCTGATGATGATCATGATGATTATGATGATGGTGGTGATGATGCTGATGATGATGGTGGTGCTGATGCTGACGATGATGGTGTTGATGATGCTGTTGTTGTTGTTGATGATGATGATGATGATGATGATGATGATGATGATGATGATGATGATGGTGATGATGCTGTTGATGATGCTGATGATGATGATGTTGATGATGTTCGGAGGAGGGAAAGGAGCGTGGGAGGTGAGGTGACGCGGGGCGCTGTCTCTTCAAAACGATGACCCAACACCACAGGATGGTTCGGGAATGCACCGTTCAGCTCGAGCCTTGCCGCACCATCCGCCCCTCCCTCTCATCACAAAGGCTCCAAGAAGCCCGTCCGGACGCCTTCCCTTGGGGCCTCGAGTGCCCCGCGCCCCAGGACCCACCGACGGGGCAGCACTCTCCGAACAGTTCCTGCATTCAGGGACTCGTGCGTGCACGGGAAGGGCCTGGCCCTGCTGCCTGGGGCCTGGCCGCCTCCGCCGCGGGCTTCTGGCCGTGTCGCCGCCACGGGGCTCCGCCGTCGCCGACTCGAGAGCCGTATCGGCTCAAGGACCTCACGGAGAGCGCTGGCGCACGGCGTCCATCCCCAATCCTTGAGATCCGAGGCTGCGAAGACAATGCAGCATCTTACCAGCCTGGAACATATCCCTATCCCTAAGCTGGGCATCGCCTCATCACAATGCCAATCTTAGGGACTCCCTTAGTTTTTGAAGGCGCATCCCTAAGATTGTCATCGCCTTTTGGCGTGTCAATCTTGGGGATAGGGATACGTTCGAGGCTGGTAAGCATCGCGAGAATTCGCGACCAGAGCCCTGGGCTCCATCTCTCTGCGATGCGTATATCCGAGCCGGGTCGGGCTGTGCGGGCCCCAGGATTCGAGAAGCCCGGGGAGCTCGCCAACTTGTTGTGAAATTTCGCGGCGCCCGGGTCTCATCGGCGACACGCAAGAAGTGACCTTGGGCAAGGGTGACCTTTGGCGCAGAGCTTTCGGAGGAGCCGCGGGGAGGCCCAACCCACGCGCGCAAGACGCTACGATCGCATCGCGTTCGGCGATCGGGGGGGACCCAGTGGGACCGCACCAACGGACAGGGAGGAGGAGGAGGAGGAGGAGGAGGAGGAGGAGGAGGAGGAGGAGGAGGAGGAGGGAGGAGGAGGAGGAGGAGGAGGAGGAGGAGGAGGAGGAGGAGGAGGAGGAGGAGGAGGAGGAGGAGGAGGAGGAGGAGGAGGAGGGAGGAGGAGGAGGAGGAGGAGGAGGAGGAGGAGGAGGAGGAGGAGGAGGAGGAGGAGGAGGTGGGGGGATCGCACCCGTTGGTGCGGTCCCACTGGGGTCCCCCCCGATCGCCGAACGCGATGCGGTCATGCCGTCTTGCGCGCGTGGGTTTTGGGCCTCCCTGCGGCTCCTCCAGAAGCTCTTCGCCAAAGGCCACCCTTGCCCAAAGGTTATTTTTGGTGTGTGGCCGACCTCAGGCTTCATCCGTCCCAAAGAAACTGCAGCGGCGATGGCAGTGCCTCAGCTCGGCAGCAGCCTGCTGGCGGCAGCCGCCCTGCTACTGTCCGCTGGCCTCCCCGCAGCGGGAGCGCCGCACCGCCACCCCGCGACGAGGGCCGAGGTCCTGCCGCAAAACAAATATACACAGACACCCTCCCCTGGATTGCTCCTGGGCCTCCGGGGAGGGCGGCGGTGCACACATCACCACTGAGAGCCAGCGATTCTGCGCACAGGGAGGTGCATGCAACAGTCGTCGGAGGGTGTCTGTGTGTGCATGTCGTTCGTGGCGCAGAGGTCGCCACGGACGCGGGGGGCCAGAACTCCCTGCTGGCGCAGCCGCCGGGGCCTGCCCGCTCGGCCGCGCGGCACCCGGTCATGCGCGCGGAGGCGGCCGAGGCCAGCCTGGCGGAGCAGAGCCGGGCGCCGGCGAAGGAGCGGGGGAAGCGTCGGGGGGGTGGATGTCGAGGAAGGAAAAACGCTGTGATCATAAACTCTCTTTGCTCGGCGCGGGTTTCGTGGATCTGCGCTGGGCCCCCCTTGGCGGCGCCTCTGGCGCTGCCCCTGGCGCGCTCCGCGCGCCCGGGAGGGGGGGTCCAGCGCAGGTCCAAGAACTCCACGCGGAGCGCCAACAGTTTAGGTTTGTGCCGCTTTTCTTCCTCTGGGACAGGCTCAGGGGGGGCACCGGCCCCCAACCGCCCACTCGCCGCCGACTCGGGCCCGACAGCCCCATCTCCCGCCCAGGAGCGTGCAGGACTCGCTGTAGGAGGCCTCTCGCTGATCTTATCGTCGAGGCGTCGTCGATGCCAGGGCGACGGCTCCCCCCCTGAGCCACTCCCCCTCGACGTTGCCCTGCAAGGAGGAAGAGGAGGAGGATGAGGAGGAGGAGGAGGCCCCCGAGGAGGCTTCGGAGGAGGCCGCCGCGGAGGCCCCAGAGGAGGACACCGTGGATGACGACGAGCCCGATCCTACCCCCACACCAGCCGCTAAGCATGCAGCCGCGAAGCATGCGGCCGCTAAGAAGGCCGCCAAGGCGAAGGCCGCCAAGGCGAAGGTCGCTGAGGAGAAGGCGAAGCATGCGGCCGCTAAGAAGGCCGCCAAGGCGAAGGCCGCCAAGGCGAAGGCCGCTGAGGAGAAGGCCGCTGAGGCGAAGGCCGCTGAGGCGAAGGCGGCGAAGAAGCCGGTGACGAGCGACGATGACGACGATGACAACTCGATTGCCCCGGCGCCATCCGGAAAGCAGGTCAACACCTCAAGTGGCTCTCCTGCCCCTGCGCCCGTGAGTGCGGCGAACTCGAACAACTCGACGAACTCCACGGCTGATGATGAGAAAAAGGCGCAGTCCGGCGGGATTATCTTTGGTTTCATTGTCGGCTTCGCCATCACGGCAGGCATCGCCTGCGCGATTTATTTCTATTATGCTTACGACAGTGAGAGCAAAAAAGACCATCAGCCTCTGGACGACCACGGGTATTCGGCACTATCCTACGACTACGACCAGCAGCATGAAGACCAGTTCGGTAGCCACGATGGGGTGCCTGAGGTCGACGAAGAACAAACTGCATTAACATAAACTGCCGACGGTCCGCGCGGATTTCCTGGATCAGCGCTGGCCCCCACCCTGGTGGCGCCTCCGGCGCCGCCCCTGGCCCGCTCCGGCCCGCTCCGCGCGCCCGGGAGGGGGGTCAGCGCAGATCCAAGAAATCCGCGCGGAGCGCCAAAAGTTTATGTTCATGCCGTTTGTTTTCTTCTTCTGCAGGAGGGCCCTGCGTTTCGCTGAGCGCGCAGCGTCAGCACCTTGTTGTATCGCACGACCCGTGAGAGCGTCCTGCGCCGCGGCCCGCCCGGACCCGTCCTCTCCGCGCGCGTCCTGAAGGCCACCGCCAACAAATGATCTGTCCGTGAAAACGTCGGCATCCGTCCCGCCCTCCGCAGCTCTGCGCGGGCTTCGCAATGCGATCTTTTTGCTGTGCGTTTCCTCCCTTGTCTCAAGTCGTGCACGTCCCTCTACGGGAGGGATATCTGAAAATGGTCAAAACATAGTCAGGGGATTCTGTTTCTAAAATCTGCTCCTGTTTTAGTATTTCCTGATCGTCCAAAATCCGCCCGTAGGAGGGCGTGCCCGACCTAGCCCTTGTCTGGCGTTGCGCGAGGCCGCGTTCCATGATCGGCCAGTTGGGCCAGCGGGGGATGTGCGCAACGCCGACGCCCGCTCTCCCCGGCCCGCCTCCGTGCTCCTTGCCCCGCTGCGCCTGGGATTCGTGGCGGCATTCCCGTGGAAGCTGCTGGCAGCCGCGTCATCTGAGTATCCAGTGGACTTCGGACGTTCCATCGTGATTGTTGCTTGTGTCTGGACGCCCGAAATGGGTTCGGAAAGAATGGGTACGATGTCCAACAGCAGTTCCTGTTCATTTTGAACAGGACTCGCTGTCCGCGCCGCCGCGGCCTGTGTCCGTTCGAGACAGAAGGCCGCCTGCCCAACAGCGGCCGCTGTTGGTTTGGGACAACATTTGTTGTTGGGCATTGTACCCATTCTTTCCGTACCAATTTCGGGCGTCCAACTTGTGGTGGTGCATGTGCTGAAAGAGTTCCTCGGGATGCGCCCGGCGCACCCGTTGCGCGCGGCGAGGTCAAGGGGTGCATCCAGCGCGAGTAGTAATGCCAAGGGGCGTGCAAGTCGTTTGAGGTCTGAGTCCATTGGAAGGCGCCGCGCGGAACGCGCCGTGGGGTTCACAGAGTGGCGGCTTTCCAAGATACGGCGGTCATCTGGGCAGTTTTGGAATGTAGATCGCGAACCGTAGGACGAGGAGGAGCGACAGGAAGAGAAGTGGAAGGGTGAGGGGCTAATTATAGGAGGGAGAGCAGCAGCGGCAGGAGGAGAAGTGGAAGGGGAGCAGAAGGAGTAGAAGGAAGAGGAGGAATTCTTTACGCTTCGCGTATCCCCACCAGCCCATCTCAAAACAGTAACTCTTGCGAAGCATGCCGACAGTCGTGTTTTTCAGGCGTGTTTCCGCCTGCCCCCGCATATCTCCCCTGTTCCTCCTTCCTCCCGCCTCCTTGTACATCCTCCTTGTGGCGGGAGCGGGAGAAGGACGAGGCGGAGGAGGAGGGAGAGAAAGCGCTCCTCGTGGTTTGAGTCGTTTGGGGTTTCTCGTCCTGGTGTGAGTCGTTCGGGCCCTTCTTCCTGGTGTGAGTCGTTCGGGCTCTTCGTGGTGTGAGTCGTTCGGGCTCTTCGTCCTGGTGTGAGTCGTTCGGGCTTCTCGTGGTGTGAGTTGTTCGGGCCCCTCATCCTGGTGTGAGTCGTTCGGGCCCCTCCTCCTGGTGTGACTCGTTCGGGCTCCTCGTGGTGTGAGTCGTTCGGGGCCCTCGTCGTGGTGTGAGTCGTTCGGGCTCCTCGTGGTGTGAGTCGTTCGGGCGCCTCGTCCTGGTGTGAGTCGTTCGGGCCCCTCCTTCTGGTGTGAGTCGTTCGGGCTCTTCGTGGTGTGAGTCGTTCGGGCCCCTCGTCCTGGTGTGAGTCGTTCGGGCTCCTCGTGGCGTGAGGCGTTCGGGCACCTCGTCCCCTTTTGGGGCGTCTTGGGGGCCTCTTGGCGGCCCCAGGGGCTTCTAGGAGCGTCTTGGGTGCCTTGGGGGAGCCTCTTCGGGCCTCTTGGGAGCCTCTTGGAGGCCGTTTGGGGCGTCTTGGGGGCCTCTTGGCGGCCCCAGGGGCTTCCAGGAGCGTCTTGGGTGCCTCGGGGGAGCCTCTTGGGGCCTCTTGGGGGCCTCTTGGGGGCATCTTGGGGGCCTCTTGGAGGCCTCTTGGGGGCCTCCTGGGGGCCTCTTGGGGCCATCTTGGGGCCTCTTGGTGCCTCCTGGGCGCTTCTTGGGGCCATCTTGGAGGAAGTCGATCAATGAGGAGGGGAGCTTTAATGAGCGCTGCCCCCTCAGAAGGGCAAACTGAGGCCAAACATTTTCGTAAAATCAATGATTTTGGCTTGAAAGAAGAGGGGAGCTTTAATTAGCGCTGCCCCCTCAGAAGGCCAACATGGGGCCAAAACCGTAGTAAAATCAATGTTTTATGCCTCAAAGAAGAGGAGAGGGTTTTTTTCTGCCCCCCCCCCGTCGGGGCCAGAATCCTCGTGAGGGGTGTCGTTTTTTAGCCCTCCCAGGAGTCGAAAATGACCCCTCCAACGACCCGCGAGGGGTAGGGGGAGGGGTAAACCCCTCCCCGAAGGGGAAGAAGTGGGGTTGAGGACAGAGAGAGCTCCCTAAACCACTCACGCCCAAAGGGCTGGTGGGATATATGGAGGAGTGGAAGGCGCGAAGAGTGGCGAGGATGAGAGAGGAGAAAGCGCGCTGACGAGTCTGAGAATCGGTGCGAGCAGACAAAGGAGAGAGGACGAGACACGTTGACAGATGTCTTCGCAACTTCTCAAACATAGATGTTCGTTGCCTGCCGCCGCAACGCACGCGCGGCTCCAAGTACACTAGGAGCCACGCATCTCCACGCGCGCGCTGTGCTCCACACGTAGGCTTTCACGCAGGATTCCGCGCGCGTGGGGTCAGGATGATGGAGGCGGTCGGTCCGCCTCCACGCGTCACCAGGTATAAAGATGGGGAGTTCCACGCACGCGAATCCACGCATGCACTCACCACGCACGCACGCGCGTACGCAGACCACACAAACATCAAACACATGCACTCTCCGTGGTGCCGAGCCTAGGGTCTTGGCGCCCAAGATGTCGGCCAGAGGACCGCAGTTGCCAGGGGCCGGGGGACGCTGCGCGCCTGCCGGCTTACGCACTCGCGCACGCTCGCGCAAACGCTTCTTTTCTGTCGGAGACTTGATGGGTGTCACCGCAGCGAGTAGTGGGGGGAGGAGGAGGAGGAGGAGGAGGAGGAGGAGGAGGAGGAGGAGGAGGAGGAGGAGGAGGAGGAGAGGAGGAGGAGGAGGAAGGGGGGAGGAGGAGGAGGAAGAGGAGGAGGAGGAGGAGGAGGAGGAGGAGGAGGAGGAGGAGGGAGGGAGGGAGGGAGGGAGGGAGGGAGGGAGGGGAGGGAGGGAGGGAGGGAGGGAGGGAGGGAGGGAGGGAGGAGGAGGAGGAGGAGGAGGAGGAGGAGGAGGAGGAGGAGGAGGAGGAGGAGGAGGAGGAGGGGGGTGGACGCGCCCAGTTTGATTATCACCCTGCCTTTCAGATGTGGGCCAGGGCGCGGCTGGCGCATGCAGAAGGCAGGCCGCCGGAGTGGTGGAACGTGGAAGATGCCGGGGGCCATGGCGTACTCCTCCTCCACCTCCCCTCCTCCTCCTCCTCCTCCTCCCTCCTGCTCCTCCTCCTCCTCCTCCTCCTCCTCCTCCGCCTGGCACCGCTTGGACAGTGCAGGAAAGCCCGCCCGACCATCGCAGATGGTAGCCCAGCTGCGCGAGGGTGCGAGACGGTCGCTGGGCGATGAGTGGCGGCCGCGCACAGGAAGGGGCAGCTGTTGAGGGCGCCCGCGCGCGCATTCATTCGCACCCTCTGCGGCCTTGGGGGGGTTCGGCTCGCGCCCGCGGGGGCGCCCGCGGCGCCCGAGACGCAAGCGCAGAGGGGCGCAGCTGAGGGCTGACGACGACGAGAACAGGGCGACCTCCCTGCCCGAGGACGAGAGCGTCGGAGTCAGGGCGGCAAACAGAAGCCTCCGTGGACCTCGCGCCTCGCGCCTCCTGCAGCTCCCCGCAGCAACCGCCGAGCCCGCCGTGGCCGGAGATCGCGGCGCCCCTCGGCATGAGGCCAGCGACGGCGCCGCATGTCTGAGGACGAGCGGCAGCGGCGGCGGCGCCGACAGCGTGGGGGGGTGCCCCCACTCACGAGGAGGGCGCGCTCGCGCGCCGCGCGACGCGGGGCGCCCGCGAGCGCCAGTCACGCCGGGCAGGGGCCTGGCGGAGGAGGCGCAAAAGGAGCCAGAGGCTCGAGCTACAAATGATTGGGGACTGCGAGGACAGGATCGGCGCATGGTTCAGAAGGCGCCGGGCCCTTTTCGGAGAGGGGCCGAGCGCCGACGTCAGCCGGGAGGTCGCCACGGCCGCGGAGTGCCACGCGGAGCTGCTCGGGGGGCCAATCGCATCGGAGGAGTGCGGGCAGCCGCGGGGGAGAGCGTCGCAGCTCAGTACACTGCGCGAGGAGCAGTTGAGACAGACAGCGACCCAGCGGGGCAGCGTCCAGCGGGGCGAGGCCGCAGGAGCGCGAGGCGAGCTCCACGGGCGAGGGCGGACCGACCTCCGAGGAGGAGGAGGAGGAGGGGGAGACAAAAGAGGATGCGGATGAAGAGGGGGGGAGGAGGAGGGAGAGGGGGGGGGGGAGGAGGAGGAGGAGGAGGAGGAGGAGAAGGAGGAGGAGGAGGAGGAGGAGGAGAGGAGGAGGAGAGGAGGAGGAGGAGGAGGAGGAGGAGAAGCACGGGGTGGAGGAGGACGCGCCAGCGACGCCGTCGGCACCTTGGGCCACAACTCAGCCCCGCAGAAGACTCAGCTCCACGGGTCAGCCGCGGCCGCACGCCACGCGCGGGGCGGGGCCAGTGGGCCCGCGCAGCCGAGGCCCAGGCCCCCCGCTGGCAGTATCGGGGCAGCAGGTGACCCGGGAGGGCCGCCCCTTCGGGCGGCGCCTATCAGCCGAGGGCCGCCGGCGCTAAAGCTCGGGGGCCCGCGCCCCCCCCCCCCGAGCATGGCCAGTGGCCGCCCCCGTCGGGCGGCGAGCGCGGAGCGCGCGCGGCGGCGGCCCCCTCCCCCCGCCGGCCCAGCCGCTGGCGGCCAGGGGCCGGGCGAGGCGATCGAGTGCGAGCGCGGCGGGCGGCGGGCAAGACGGCCGAGGGCACCGACGGCCGCGGGGGACCTGTGAGGGCGGCCCCGCCAGCAGACGGCAGCTCCCCCTCTCTCCGAGGAGGAGACGGCCCCTCGGCCCCGCCCCCAGCGACCTCGCGGCGGGGCGGGGGATCGGCGGGCCGATCGAGCGGCTCGCCGCCCAACGTGGGGCCGCTGAAGGGCGCCGCGGCGTGC